TGAAATCGCATTTGAATGAGCGCTCGCTGTTCACTTTCGATTTCGAGATCATAGTCCTTGAATCTGGTGTTCATGAAAGAGTGGGAACCCTGCATACAGATTCTTTTTCACATTACAATAATGAGATTGAGATGGTTGTGCATTGCGGTAATGACTTATTGTGCAAGGAAAATGTGCTAAATGTCATGACTTTGATCTTAAAAAATATACTTTATTTACTCGATGCAAAATTATACCGCCCCCCCCCTTATTTTTGGGATGAAATATGACCCAGACATGTTTCTGGTGGTTTATTGTGTGATCCACCCATATATAATTCAAAATAACTGCGAATAAATGAGCTTTTGACGTTGCTCCTTCTGCTACTGTTGTGGTCCATGTATCTTTAACTGATCTTTAGTTCCACTGCCTGGTTACGACACCTACAGAGAGAGACTGGGGCATGTACTTCATTCCCATACGCATTATATCCCATTAACCCCTGCATTATCCAGCCAAGACTTTGAGTGTGGCATTTACCACTGGGATTATAAGGGAAAAATTAAGGTCCCTGTACTGACCCCCACTTTTACCACTGTGGCGCAATATTGTACAAGTTGTGTTGTAAGATTACATGAGCACTTCAGGATGAGAGAGATGTTTGTTTAGCTTTCACCACAAACCTTTTCAGGCCAAGTTAGTCGTACATATAAAAGTGGCGGTGAATGGTGTAAAGATTTGGGAGTGACAATCGCAGTTATTTTTGCGCGTGTACAGAAAACAGTCGATCCTACATCACACAAAATTGTGATTCTTGATATTTTCATGTTAAAAAGAAGTTTTTAACAACTAATATGATCTTTTTCATCAAAAACAGTGGCTAATATGATTTTTAGTAACAATTTATTTATTTATGAATTTATTTGTATTGATTGTAAATATTAATTTCTATTTTACTACATTTTATATGCAATTTTGATTATGCTTATTAAACAGCCACTTTTGTCATAATTACGTCACTGCATTCATAACTAGTTGGCTTTTGGCTTATTTTTGTGCACGCGATGCAAATTGTATGTCAATTTGCTTGTAACAACCTGATTTAAAAATTTTTTTTTTTAGTAAATTAACATTTTCTTGGTGACAAAAATTACTTCGTAAAACAATCTATTTCTTCTTACAAGAATTCAGTTGAAAAATACGTTTGTCACTCCTGTAGCTAATAAATCTACGTGGCCACTGCAATATTTTGGGACTGACAATGTATGAATAGTTTCACGGTAGTTTACATTGTGATAACGGTAGCATTTTAGACTTTTTGTCTTTTAAATAAGACTAGACCTAAACGACAGTTTTATTTATTAGAATGTTAGTGAATATGAATTTTATTGTCCACTGTGTGGCCTAAAACAATCTCATCCTCTCATCCTGAAGTTTTTGAACAGTGACCTCAAAAGCCTCTGTAATTCTGACTTGTAACCTGAGGTCACTGTTGTTTTATTTTGTTAACAATAATTCTCAATTCTATTTCTTTCAAACAACCAAAAACCAAAGTGGTTCTCCACACTTGTCCTGTTTGGGTTTGTTAATGCATGCATTAACAGACCCAAGCAATAATATTTTCCATCTACATCTTTTGCATAACATTGCAACCGTTTTTTTAGGAACCTGGACGTGCGGAAAACCCCTCGTCTTGTGACATTTCGGTGTGGTCACTTTGTTTTGACTTGTGTTGTAATGATCACATTAACACAGCCTAGTGCCACACATTCCCTAAAATATCTTTGTGTCATTTAATCAACAATAATTTTATATCAGTGAGATCTACTTAATATTTTCTTACAATTGCTAAATCATTAAATACAGACATGTGTCCTTGCAGCGTCAGAGAAAGACCCTCCGGATGTTCTCAGCAGGACCAAGTGCCTCGAGTATTTAGCATCTCTGCGACATGCTAAATGGTTTCAGGTAAAAAAAAAGGGGCTTCGAAAGTTGATAAAAGTCTAATTTAGGATAGGTTTTAATTGTACTTAAAATTTTAGGACAGTAGACACTTAATCTGTAACCTTGTTAAAAAGCATTGGAGAAGCTCCTTTAAAATTGCATTTTGCTACGTTACAAGCAACTCATAATTTAACATAGTTGTCAACGTTGTTAAATTGTAACATTGTTACATGAGGCATAACATTAAAAAAATATTTCTGAAAAAGTAATAACTACTACAAAGGTAATAGCCGAAAGTATCTGAATATAGTGAAATTTTATAATCGTTATTTAAACACTAAATTGACTTTATAGCTAAAAAATCGTTATTGAGAAAGCTTCATTTAGCTACCATGCTACCGACTTTAGCCTAAACTCGAAACATACTTTTCGTAAGTATCGCTTTTATCAGAGCAAGTTTGACTTGTATTTCATTCATAGCTATGTTCCTAAACGCAATTAGTAACGGTCTTAGACTCAGCGATTATTTTCAGTATTGCCCATTTTAGCGAGCCGAAAGTATCTGAATATAGTGAAATTTTATAATCGTTATTTAAACACTAAATTGACTTTATAGCTAAAAAATCGTTATTGAGAAAGCTTCATTTAGCTACCATGCTACCGACTTTAGCCTAAACTCGAAACATACTTTTCGTAAGTATCGCTTTTATCAGAGCAAGTTTGACTTGTATTTCATTCATAGCTATGTTCCTAAACGCAATTAGTAACGCATCGTTAAGTGCACTTTATTTTCAGTATTGCCACAAGGAGCGCTGTAATCGTCATTATTGTAAACTTCCATTAAACGATCCATTTTTTTGTTCAGGAACAACAATTCGAAAAGAATATCGCGGATCAAGTCAGTTAATTTTATTGTCAACTGGTTAGCATGTTAGCTAGCTAACTACCTGAATAATAATTTGTAGTTAAGCATGTACAATGGGAACTGTGTGTTTACAAACTTGTGTAGAGTATGTTTTTGGTCTTAGACTCAGCGATTGTTTAATTTTAGTAACATTTTAGCATTAGCTGTTGTTCGCCGTGATTGTATCGCCTATTAATGAGTTTTATGCACAGACTTATGCTTCAGTCTTGCGTCATTACATTATTCTTTAGATTGCTACAGTAAGTTATAACATAGATAAGTTAGACATAATGTAAAAATATATATTTTTGAAAAAATAATTGTCACTCTACATGTTACTAGCAAAACTAGCTTAAGGAAGTGTTTAGGCACTAAATTGACTTTAAAAAATCACTACTGGGAAAGCTACACTTAGCTAACTGACATGGCACTGACTTTCGATTAAACCCAAAACATACTCTACGCAAGTATCTATTTCTTCTAGCAACGCATATTCGATTTAATTTATAGCTATATTCCTAAATATGTCAATACGCAATTAGTAACGCATCGCTAGTATGCCTTATTTTCAGTATTGCCACAAGGGGCACTATAATGTACGTTAACTTAAACTTGTTACTTCTATGACTAATTTTCATTTTCAGGAGCAATAGTGTGTAAAGAATATCGTAGAGCAAGTCAGCTAAGTTTATTGTCAACTGGTTAGCATATTAGCTAGCTAATTACCTAAATAATTTGTTGTTAAACGTGTACAGTGGACACCAAGTGTTTGCGTACTTACATAGAGTATGTTTCTGGTATTAGAATCGACCGTTAAATAATTTTAGTAGCATTAGCATTATCAATTAGCGTTCACATTTGTGTTATTAACTGAAGTGCTGTAGTTAGCTGTGATTATTGCATATTAACGAGTTTCATCCACAGGCTCGGGCGAACGGTCTTCAGTCTTGCGTCATCATTATTCGGGTTCTGCGGGATCTGTGTCAGCGCGTACCTACCTGGGGCAAGATGCCCGACTGGGTCAGTTAGCTTTGTTTGCTAACAGTGATTTGAGTTGTAGCTAATAATGGTCGCATTAACTAACGTGTTGAGTTTTCTTTTGCAAAGGCCATGGAGCTGCTTGTTGAAAAAGCCATTAGCAGCGCATCAGGTCCACTCAGTCCCGGAGAAGCTCTGCGGAGGGCCCTCGAATGCATCGCCACCGGGATTCTCCTGCCAGGTAGGACCAATGTTATTTTAGGAATTATTTATTTAAATATATATATATATTATTATATATATTATATATATATATTATACTTCTATAGATTGATTTTAATGTTAGTCTAAATTCTAGTAATTTATTGTGCTTTTATAATTTTTATTAATCTTCATTTTTCTAAATATTTCCATTTAGCTCTTATTGATTTTAATTTTAGTTTTAGTAATTTTAGTACTTCAACTCAAGTTGCCAAGGCCATATTTCTCATTTTCGATTTTTTTTTTTACTCTAATTTTTATATTAGTTTATTTAAGATTTAACAGAAATAATTTTTAATAGTTCTACTAATTTTATGTGCTTTTGTAATTTTTATTAGTTTTCATTTTTCGCTACATTTCTTTTTAGCATTAATTTATTTTTATTTCCGTTTTAGTACTTCAGCTTTAGTTTGGTTAGTTTCCAAGGTAACATGCCAGATTATTTTTGCATTTTTTGATTTATTTTTTGGTTTAACCAAGTTTTTTGGTTTATGTTTTTCATCTAATATTTAGATTTTATTTTATTCCAGCTTTATTGCAATTAGCAAAACTGTTTTTAATAGTTTTAGTTAACAATAACAACACTGGGGTAGGACGCAATACTTTTATGTGCTTTTGTCGTTTTTTATTTAGATTTTGCTTTTAAATATTTCTATTTAGGTTTAATTCATTTTTATTTCTATTTTAGTTTTAGTAATTAAAAAACAATTGGCAATTAACTTAAAACTAGTTCATTTGATGTATTTTATTTTATTGAAGCTTTATTTTTTAATTGTTTTAATTGACAATAGCAACACAGGGATAAGACAGTAATTTTGTTATGTGTTTTTGTCATTTTATAATTTTTTTTCTGGATATTTCTATTTAAGTTTAATTTTTATGTCATTTTTAGTTTTCTATTGTAATTTTAGTACTTAAAACTCATTTTATTTCAATTAGTTGCCAAGGAAATTTAAACATTTTCACTTCAAGTTTTATATTTAAAATGCAATATATTTTGTTTTATATCAGCTTTGTTTTTAAATTAACCAAACCAACTTTTTTTCTTGCTACACATTTCGTAACCCATTTACACGCATATTTATATTTAAGTCAGTCATTAAATGTCTGTCCACCCCTCAGATGGTCCAGGTCTTCTCGACCCGTGTGAGAAAGGTCAAACAGATGCTCTGGGAAGCATGTCGAAACAAGCTCGGGAGGACGTGACCGCTAGTGCCCAGGTTACTAAATGTTTTTCTAACAAACTTTTCCATTTGCATGATCCATACTTATTCTGAAAGCACGTCTCGTTGTGTTTCAGCATGCGCTGCGACTGCTGGCTTTCCGTCAGATCCATAAAATCCTCGGCATGGGCTCACTGCCGGTCTCAAAGGCCGGAGCTCGAAACCGCAAGAGACGACGCGACGGCAGCGACACCGGCGAGGGAGAAGCCGACGGAAAGAAGGATAAAAAAGACGATTCTCACATCCCTTGAGACGTCTGCGTAATCTTCGCAAGCTGTTATGTCTTTGCAAATGTATAAATATCACTCGAAGAGGAAAAAATACAACATCCGATGGTTCCGTTTTTCAAAAGAACAAGATATGGAAAAAACGTAGTCGTTCCCCTTTTATGATGCAATATGTCTTTCTAATACATCTGAGCTGAAAATAGGCCGAAATGCAGCAGCCGCATCCCTTTTTCAGAGCATCAGATGATGAGTGAATGTCGCTAACGATCAGCGACCAAAATAATACATAAAGTTACTGAACGTCAAATTAGCTCTATTAGGCACTTTGACATATTAATGGCACTTAATTAAAAGCTTTAATTATCCAGACACAGGCCAGTCTTTTTTGTTTACATCTTATATATATATATATATTTAAAAACAATTTTTTTACAGTGGGGCCCAAAACTAGTTGTCCACATTGAAATTTTATTTGCCAGACATTTTAACACGGAAACAAATGTTTTATTATTTTTAAAAATGTAAAATGAACATCATAACATAAAATTTATAAGAAATATTTAAGTTTTTCATTACTAATGAAATTACGGTAATTTAGTGACAATGCAATATGTAAACAGATGGACATTGCTCTCAAATGGTTTGGCAACAAATAAATTTTTTATTTTTTATTTTTTTTTCTGGAAAAATTTAAAGTCTCAGACTTTTGGATCCCACTGTATAAACAAAATATTTCGATATATTTATAAATATAAATCTGTTCTATGTAATAGTAGGGCTGTGACGATAAATCGATGCAGAATCGATTTGTGGATTGATTCTGAGATCTTCCGAATGCATCGTGATTCTCTCTGAAATCGATTCTGAGCTTAGACTTTAACAGCAGATGGCGCTCTAATCTAGTTTTTATCCGCACACTCAAATGCGCTGAAGAGCGCTTGTGCGTTCGTTTGAGTCTGTAATTTCACCTCGGCTCAGAATGCTTTTATGCCGCCAGATTAATGTAAACACAGCCCACTGTGAACACCCTTGTAATTCGCTTCAACCTTTTCGAATTTTATGAACGATTATTTTAGGTTCAAGTGTGTGTAAGGATTTGGAAACAAGCAGAGTACGGCTGTTTCTAAAGCATGCAGCGCCATCTACTGTTCAAAACTAAGCTCAGAATCAACTCGAGAAAGAATCGCGATGCATTCGGAAGATCTCAGAATCGATGCAGAATCATTTCTCGATTCGCGATGCATCGATTTCTTTTCCCAGCCCTATGTAATAATATTATAATGTATTATATAATAATATTATGTATAATATTGATAATAATATATTATGATTAACATGATATAATATTATATTATGTATAATATTATTGCAAAGTAATTAGTTTCTCTACTGTGTATCTTTAAAAAAAATACGTTTTTAAAACAAGTAGTTATTAGTATTCACTAATAAGCTGTTAAAAGCGACACGATTCAGCTTTGTGTGGATGTTTATTAACCCGACACTGGATTTATACACGTTTACGCGTCAGATCTGTAACCGACGGAGGAAAAAATAAATAAATAGACTTATTAACTCTCTGCTATCATTATTTTTATTTGCATACTGAATAATCGCTCATTTCACGGTGAGAAGCTGGCGTTTCGACAGGGTATCGAGCCGTTGTTCTCTAGCGAACGACGCGAAAACACAACGTAAAGTCTGTGGTTCTTCACATGTGCCTGCGGTAAAGACTAAAAGTACTTGAAATGTGAACGAGGAGGTGAATTTCCGGTTCTTCATATTGCAATATAATATAATGTAATACCTCTCTATTCTTACATTTTTATATAAAAGAGTAAAATCTAACAAGAGATGCGCAGTTTGCTAGAAAGATTGCTATTCGTATATATTGAACTGATTATTCGTATCGCCTGAATTTGCGTTCTGCCACCTGTTTTTATGTATAATGCAATCGTATCCCGGTGTTTTTAAATGTTCCTGCTGAGTGTTTGTTCTCGGTTTGTAGGACTGTGAATAATTATAGTGTGATCTTTCTTTCAGTTGGAATATCTGTGTAGTGCTGCTTAACTAAATAAACGGAGAAAACGATCAGACTACACGGCCCGCCTGTGTCTGTTTTTGTTCAAGCTGAGGCCTTTTTATTGCTTTATATTTTTGCCATCATATATGGTCATAAATAGGGGTGGAAAACACGTCAGAGGCACAGCATGTGTATCAGGAGGAAGTGAGCGCGTGTGTAATAAACCTCTGATGAGTGTGTAACCGCTCACATGGAGTGACACCAGCAACATATTCACAAACAAACTCATACTGGTGAGTGACAAGAATCTCAAAAATATCAAGAATATAGTTTGTTTGTTTTCATTTTGTACAGCACTGGGCTTACAAAGCTACTTGTTTAATGTTTATATCTTGTGTATAAGGATTTTTGTTGATTTTATCATCTTAATCTGTACTAAAAAAGTATATGCACACAAAAAAAAATGTTAATATACAAACACTCATGTGTATTTAAGGTGTGTTTTTAAAAAATAATTTTCTTGAGTTCAGTTGTCTTTTTAAAATTTTATTTGATTATTTATTTTTGTGGAACATTTCAAATTACATTTGAGTTTTTTCCAGTCAAGGGTTTATGCAAAAATGGTTAACATTTAAGTTTAGAATGTGGGTTTTTATTTATTTATTTATTTTACATATAACTAATTTTTTTAATACTTTTTTTCCCCTCGTATCAGTTTTTTTTGTTTTAATCATGTTGTACTTTTTTGCAGTCAAGGTGTCATGCGGTGTGACTTATTATTTTTATTATTTAGCACGCGTGTATTGACGATTTTTTTTAAACGTTTTTGAAGTGCCAATTTGATGTAATGTTAATTTTACATATTTTTCAATTCATATTGATTTAGTTTTTCTCCACGATTCATCACCATTTTAACCACTTTTTGTGATGTGACAATTTATTTAATTCATATCTATATTGAGTTTTTTAAATGAATTTTTGGGCCATTTTGATTGCCTTTTAGCGTTGTTGTTGTTTTGGTTTTTTTAAATGGGGGGGGCAAAAGAGTCAAGTCAGACATTGGACCGTAATAATTAGCCTACTGACGTTAACACACAGGGAAAATGTGTAACACGCCTCACAGATACAAAAATAATGTTTTATGTTTTGATTAAAAGATAGCTAATATTAAAGGTCAGCGAAACCCTAAGAACAACATTTTTTGACAACAGTGCTCTCAACGTTATGTAGCCTACATGACAGTAGTTATTAAAGGGGTCATATGATGCGATTTCAAGTTTTCCTTTCTATTTGGAGTGTTACAAGCTGATCGTGCATAGATAAGATCTGTAAAGTTGCAAAGACTAAAGTCTCAAACCCAAAGAGATATTCTTTATAAAAGTTAAGACTAGTCCACGCCCTCCTAAAATGCCTCATTTAAACACGCCCCCACATGTCTACGTCATGATGTGGGAAGATTTGCATAACATATATATATATATATATATATATATATATATATTATACACACATATATACACATACACACACGCACACAACGAAAAACAAGTAGATAGAAAAAATAGAAAGCTGCTAGTTTTTTTTTTAAATAAAAAAGAAGATAAATAGATAAAGTAGAATTAAAATAGAATAGAAAGTGCTAGAGTTAGAGGGTCAAATAAAGATGGAACAGATGTGTTTTTAGTCGTTTCTTGAAGATGGTTAAGGACTCAGCTGCTCGGATTGAGTTGGGCAGGTCATATTCAGGAAAAATCACCTTTATATAAACCGGCTGAAATGTTTTGAAATCACTTATACCCTACCTGATCGAAAAAAATCCAGTCTTTCACTCTGTCTTGTTAAAGATTTAAATCCTTGCCGCCCAAATGTTGGATTATGGAAAGTGAAACTTAAATCTATAGGGGTGGTTGGATTTATTCACGCACGTTAAAAACATTTATTAAAAGCTTCTTTCTTTTCAGATTATTATTTACAACATCATCTTAATAGGCTGTATATTAACTTATTGGGAGAAAACCAGTAGTTCTATGTGAAATCAGACATTGAGCACATATAGTCAAAATGGCTTGATCATAACACCTCAGCGAATATTCGACTGAGACCGATAGTTGAATCAGGCTCTTCCTATCGAAGATTCGAATCTTTGACTATTCGGGGTCTCCCCTAGATATTAGCCTACTATTAAATTAGTGTAATATTTTACATTTTTTGGCTTTTTTTCTGCATTGACAAATGTGGAAAATTAATATTTAATTCATGTGTTTTGGGTTTTTGGAATTAATTTTTGCCCATTTTTTTTTTAACCTTTTTGCATTTCTTTTTTACATTTTTCTTAGGCTAATTTAGATGAAGTATAAAATTGTACGTGGCTATAACAAGCTAAAACATCATGTCCAATCTTTTTATGCGCTTTTTCTTTTTTTTTTAACCGTGGTTTCTCCATCAGGTTGAAGGTCTGAAGATCTTCAGATGTTCAGTGCTCAATAAACACATGGCGATGGTAAGCCAGACATCCTGCTAAATATTAGCCAATGCCTTGAGATGTTTTCATACCTCACTTCTCACTAACTCTATTATCATTACTCTATTGACTCTACTGTTACTCAGAAGAACTGGACGGCAGGAACTCAGTGCGTCGCCAAAAAGCAGCACTGCAAGCCTAAAGCCGGTGAAATAGCATATCACAAAGGCGACATCTTGACAGTCGTCGGACCTGGAACGGTAAAATAAGCACCATTCCTAAACCCATTCTCCCATATAAAGCCAGAGCCTGGCTAAAGTTTTTGTTTTTTCTTTTTTTCAGAGGAATGGAGAATACAGAGCCCGACATAATGCAACAGGAGAGGAAGGATTGGTCTCGGGTTCGAAACTCCGAGAAAGGGAAGCTCTCCGTATCGACCCCAAATTAAGCCTGATGCCGTAAGTGAGCAGAAATCTGAATTCTGAAGAACTGCGATGAGGAACAAGCTTGTAATGTTGTAGTAGTTACTCCACAGAAGGACAGGATGTGGTTATAGTTTATGTCACCAGAGGTTATTTAAGATTTGACGTTGTTTACAATCTTCTCAGATGGTTTCACGGCAAAATATCGGGACCGCAAGCCGTCGGCAAACTTAAGCCCGTGGAGGACGGGCTTTTCTTGGTGCGGGAGTCGGTTCGGCATCCCGGCGACTTCGTGCTGTGCCTCTGCTTCAGTCAGAAGGTCTTCCACTACCGAGTCATCTTCAAAGACAACAAACTGAGCATCGACAACAAGCAGTTCTTCTACAACCTCATCGACATGATCGAGGTGCGTCCGGTGGCTATATTTAGCGTGCATGTTTCTTCATTTATCTTGCTTTTCCAGTGACACATGGGTGCTGCTCGCGTCCTGTGGTTTTCGAGGGGAAATGAGAACTGGGCCACTTGTTTGTGGCGAGCGTCAGATGCTTTTAAAGAAACTCGGGGCCCAAAGCGCAACAGTATGTCGGCTCGGCGGCTCGGAGCGCTGCCTACGAGGCTATCGGTGCTGATTATTTATTTTTAGATATTCAGCGCCGATATATATATGACTTTAACTGCAAAAAATAAAAACAAATGGTGAAAACTGCCAGTAAATGGTATATTAATATAATGGCATATTAATTTCCCATTTTCACACACTTTCTTTCTTTCTTTATAAAGCACTTTCACACAACTACCTGTTGATCCAAAGTGCTGTACAATACAGCTAAAATAAAACAAATTAGAAACAGCAAAACACAATATAACAATACAATTGACATTGCTAGATAAAAGCTATTGACAAAAGATGTTTTTTTTAAGCAGGTATTTAAATACTGGCAAAGAGGGCGCAGCTCTAATAGAAGCTGGTAATTTGTTCCATAGACTAGGACCGGCAACAGCGAAGGCTCGATCACCTCTACAAAGGAACCTCGATCTAGGAACAGAGAGGAGACCAAGATTACTGGATCTTAGGGACCTATTTGGTTTATGAATAGAGATTGCCTCAGAGAGAATTGATGGTGCTCGATTACGAAGAGATTTAAAAACAAAAGTTACAATTTTTAAAACAATTCTAAATTTGACTGGTTTAGTGAAATAAGAATGGGCGAGATGTGATCGAACCTCCGTCTGCCATTTTGGACCATCTGTAAACGCATTATAGAGGACTGACTTATACTGTAGAGAATTATAGTAATCTAAATGAGATAAAACAAACAAGTGAATAATCTGTTCAAACTGTTTTACAGAGAGTAAAGATTTGATTTTCGATAAACGCTGTTAGTGGAAGAATCTTGATGCTAGACTAGACTGCACTAATTTGTTTCTCAAAACCCAGGTTGCAATCAAAAAGAACACCAATATTTTTTAGCACAGGGTGTAAAGTAAGAAGAGAGATGACCAAAATGAAGGGCACAGTCTTCATATGAATTTAAACCAAACAAAATGATTTCGGGTTTTTTTCTCGTTTAACACTAAAAGATTCTGCTTTAACCATATTTGTAATTTGTTTAGGCAATCCAACAGAGGTCCTAAGAATTCTTTACTTTTATGCTGCAAGGTAAAATACAGCTGGGTATCATCCGCGTGCGTATAGGTGGAAGGGCACTCCATATTTCTCAAAGATAGCACCCATCGGTAGCTTAAATATAGAAAATAAAACTGGGCCAAGAATTGAGCCCTGTGGAACCCCACAAGCAAGTGGGAGTGAGGACGACCTTTGTTGGCCAATAGAAACACTAAAACTTCTGTTTGTTAAAAAAGACAATTTCAACACCTTACCCTGTAACCCAACACAGCTCTCCAACCTGGAAATCAAGATATTGTGGTCAACCATATCAAATGCAGAGCTTAAGTCTAAAAGCACCAAAGCCACAGCATTCCCTTTATCTGTTTCTAATAAAATATCATTTACAACTTTTAAAAGTGCACTTTGCGTGCTGTGTTGTGACTTAAAACCCGATTGGAATTTTATTCACATTCATATTTTAGTCATGCAGTGTTAGCAAATTATAATTTTATTTATTTACTTTATCACATTTGAGCTTTTTTTAAGTGGCTGTGTGGTGTGATTTAAATTTTTTTTATTTTTATTATTATTTATAATAATTTTTTATAACAATCTATTATTTTTTCACATTTCATTGTTTTTAATCACTCTTTGTGGTGTGACAAATTATTATTATTGTTGTTGTTGTTATTATTATTATTATTTAGGCTAATCCTTGTCCTCAACTCCCTCTTATAGACATTGCATCACACTTTCTAACTGCAGCTGATGTTATGACTTTATTGGGAATTAAAGGGGAATTTCTGGTGTGTTTTGTAGCCACAGCTGGTTTTATAAATGCTGTGTTTGTTTGACAGTTTTACAGCAGAAATCAAGGCGCCCTCGCTACGCTTCTGCTGAAGCCCAAGAAGAAGGAAGGCACGAAATCTGCCGAGACGAAGCTGTTGAAATGTATGTGTGACTCGAAAGAGCTCCAAAAATACCTGAGGATTGATTTCTAGTAGTTTAACACTGTACATCTGGCTCTGTGTTACAGCCGGCTGGCTTTTGGATCTGTCCAAACTTACGTTAGGAGAGACCATCGGAGAGGGAGAGTTCGGTGGTACGCTGTCCTTTTGAATACATGTGGACTTTGTTATTGTAGTTCTCTCAGATAACCAATAGAGAGCAGAATTTGAATGAGACATCGGCTATTATTGGGACGAGAGCAGTAATTGCACACTGTATACTGTCATTTTTAATGAATAATATGTCAAAAATACATTATGCAACGTTATTGTGTTTAATTCAGTAAGTGGAGAAAAATGTGATTATTTTACTGAAGTAAATTTTGTGAAAAACTTTGGCTATCTAGTGGGAATATATATATATA